TAGCATTAATCTTTTAACCATCTTCAAAATGTGGTTGTCTTTTTAACATAGATTAGCGTAGCATATAGCATATATTAGTACAGGAAAGCAGAAAGCTGACCGAGGTTCTGGCCGAGGCTTGCTGAACTCTTATTGGAGCACAGTCAGAGCGAAAAGGGGCGGGACTTAGGAAGGCTCCATTTAAACTGACCTGACTTGAAACTGACAAAAACAAGTTAATTTAATTAATTCAATGAAATTGTTCAATGTAGTGTGTGGTACAAATTCAGAAAATCAAAAAAATATGGAAAACAATCTTCACTCTGTAATGATTCATAGCTGAAAATTGTTATTTTTCACAAATTAGAATTATGCCAAAAACTAGGACAAAAACAAATCAACAAAGCTGGGTTTCAGGTGGATAACTCTGTTCTCTTTTAAATGCTAACAGAAAGATGGCGATGGCCCACTTAGACAATTTATTGCAACAAAAGGATGCGTGTTACTGAAAATCAGAATACAGGTGTATTAGAGAGTCATCTGTCATCAGCATGACAAAAAACAAGGAATGAAAAACAAAATAAAAGTCAAACTATAGATGGAAAACCACCAGATTCACAGTTTACAGCTGAGTTTCTGAACAAAGGGGCTGGACATTTACAGTTGAGTGATTAACTTTCAGACCAAGTGGATGCATGCCATGGCAGAGAATGAAAATTGCCCTATTGGGGGAAATTGTTCTTTTCATTCTTTTTTTTTCATTTTTTTCAACATTCTTTTTAAAATGTTATTTTAACTCCAAAAAAATGTTGAAATGGATTACATAAAACTTTTTAAAAACACAACATTTTCTAAGTTAAAAAATATTTTTGAATAGTGTGACTAACATAGTTTTGTAAGTTGAAGAGCACTTTTTACTAGGTATTTTTCACAGTACAAATAACATTTTCAAAATGTGTGTGACTAGAAATTACTAGACTTCCCAGTTTAAATGGAATGACTTATTAAATATGCTATGTGCTAGGCTCGTTTACATCTTTAAGATAGTTAAAAGATGAAAGCAACATTAGTCACGGTACCTGTTAACAAGATTAGTTAGATTAGTTTTTAGATTTAACTAGCTAGCTAACAATTACAGTAGCTAGCTAGTGTTTTGCTGTTGTAAAATGCTAGCCAACAAATGATTGATGGAAATTAGCTACTTGATCAAGAATCTTTTGAACATAGAAAATTGAGATAACAGTTTCAACAATTTTTGACTATAATTGAGTTATGTGGTATTACAGTGAGTAGAATGAATTAGCCACCAGCTTTCTAGACAACTATATTTTATTTTCATCAATATTAATATCACTTCCATTCACATTTTTGCTGCCATGGAGTGAAAAGCTCCACCTGACTGGGCATAATGACAGTAGTTTGAACATTTGGCACTGCTCTGGTAACAATAAGGACATTGAGGAAAGTGGGAGGACATTTCATTGGAAGGACTATTAACAATTCATGGAATTCACTGTGAGAGCCCAACTCAAGAGTCTCTATTCTCCATCAGTAAATAGGTCATGTTTAATGGAATGAAGTTTAAAATACATGATACTTTTTTGTTCCCTGTTACCCCTCCACTATAAGAGCTGGCATAATCCTGGACAAGATCAGTAGAGTGCTGCAGGAAGTTAGCATCGTCCTGGGTTCTTCTACCCACAGCCAATGGGAATTTTCCATTTGATTTTGGATTATTACAAAAAATAAAGTCTGTGGTAAACAAGTTCATGATACTTGATGCATGTTTTGTTCAGCAAGATAATCTTTACAAATGAACACCCCTTTTATGATTTTTGAAGTGTAAATGTGATCACCAGAAGTAAAAAGCTAATGTATAAACAAACTATACCAAGGTCCATGACTTCAACTTGTAATTAAATCTTGTAATTAAAATCTACAAGTTTTAGTTAAAATGAACAGATCCTCCTAAATGTTATACACTGGGCCTTTGACAATGCCTTTTGCATTTTTTGAGAGTTTCACGGCCACTAAGTTTCTCCCACTATACAGCACGTTCTCGTTCCCTGGTCATTAACTGTAGGTGTGAGTGTTCAGTTGTGAAGATTTGGTGTCCAAATAATTAGCTCATTGACAGTGAGGATAGCAACTGTGTATGACACGCTGGTAACTGAGTTTTGTTAAAATTGATTAATTGATGAATAAAAGTGTTAAAAAAAAGTCAAATATCCCCCCCCCCCCC